GACAGACAGGGAACACCGCTTACCTCTTAAATTCCTGCGGCATTTGAATCAGATGAGAATTCATAATCGTTTCCTCTACTTCCTTCTCTTGACCACTGCAGTGATAACTTAACACTTCAAGCGCAACTTGGTGCTTTTGTTGTGCTCGGGATAGCGAATTATAAATCTAAAAGGAAGAATAAGAACATAATAAAGATGTCTTCTTTTGCTTTAGTTCAACTTTGATTTGTTTGCACTGATATTATCAATGATCGTTTGGTCTGTTAGCGTGGCTTGTTTGCTTGCTTCCTCTTCATAGTCTTCTTCACGGTTCCCTGCGCCATCTTGAAAGGTAGCCGTGCCTTTACATCAAAGCGAGCATGCAATGATAGATACCTGTGAATAATTGTCTGTAGGTGTGAAAGAAGGTTTCTATCATTGCACACTCAACGGTCGTCTCGCTTCGATGCAAAGGCACGGCTACCTTTCAAGATGGCGCAGGGAACCGTGAAGACTATTGTGGTAAGTCCAACATCATGTATAAAATCTGTGGTTTCTTTGAGAAGAAATAGTTATCCATACGTACCTGACTATAGTGTAACGCAAGGCCACAATATCCAGCAAACATTTCAAATGCCTCGGCGTCTAAAAGAGCGCAAAACGTCTTGTCATGATTTATGATCGGTATCGGATTTTAGACATTTAAGAGTAACAAATAGCAACTGTTCATTCATTACAAACACTTCACATCTTCAACCTAATCAACAGCAACACAGACATTATCATCAAGCAGTGCATTATAATTAACAATGACATCATCAGTACGTCATAATTAACATGACATCATAAGTACGTCATAATTAACAATGACAACATATGTACGCAATAACAATGACATCTTCAGTGCGTCATAATTAACAATGACATCATATGTACGTCATAATTAACAATAATGACATCATCATTGACGTTACCTACAATGACATCATTACCACTAATGATATCATCAAATCACCAATAATGACATCAGTAATGGGCACAAATGACGTCATCACGAACAGTGCGTCATAATCGAGAATGACATCATCATGATCAACATTAGTTCACCTTCTGACGAAAAGAATCCGCGATAACTGTTGACCATCTGTACGACACCAATGATGCTGATAAGAGGGGAAAGAAATGGATCTTAATGTCATGTTATATTCAGCAATAAGACCAAAAACAATTGTCAATGTGTAGCGACACAATTTTGTGCAAGAAAACGTGGCGCTAATTGCACTCTTTTTGATATATTTGCTTTGCAATTGAAAAGAAAAGACTAAAAACGATTTTTTTTATCACGTAGAGTACAATCCTCCGTAATCCTCGGCATTTATTTAATCATTACTGTCCACTCAGAGTACGGAACTTCTTACTGGTACACATAGGATATTACGCGTAGTATAACATCTAGTGCTGTTACCACTATTCTGCACTTCCCTCCCTCCCCCATAGTACTGTCAATACTCCAGTTTCGAATTCAAAGCGAATAACCGCTGTTTTACTTGACAGCAGATTCTATTACGCAAAGAACTTACCAAACACAAAAGAAAGCACAAGAAAATGTTGCTAGTACAATAGAGCGCTAAGAATCTACATTTTCCCCGAGTTGAGGCTAACCCTGCTCATACCTTAGGTCTTATGGGAATACAGGGATAATCTCAACTCGGGGAAAATGCAAATTTTCAAGTCTATTGTAATAACGACATTTTCTCGTGCTCTCTTTTGTGTTAATTGTAAAGTCTTTGCGCAAGAGAATCTGTTGTCAAATAAAGCAGCGGTTATTCGCTATGAATTCGAAACTGGAGTATTACCTACTGTCCCCTTCCCCCATAGTATAATGAATTACCTTCCTTTACATCTTACTGGTACACATAGTATATTACGTGTAGTGTAGCCTGTAGTCATGTCCACTTCGCGGTTAAATCGTGGATCCCGATAGGCATCTCGTATGTTGAGGATAACTCCTTTCGAGGCTACATATCCCGCAATGCCTTTCGAAACGGAAAACCTGAAATCATTGAAATTCACTTAATTTATTGACCGATCCCGATTCCGATTCAAGCAAAAATATTCCTTTGATATAGAGCATGGAAAAGATACCGATTGCTGCGATATGTAGAAACTCGCTTTGTGTTATATGTTTTACATTTTCATCAGGAAAAGCTAATGTATTTAGTAAAAATATTTGATTTTGTGCTTATTGCCCACTCATTGTTTAGTGATTAATCTATGTGAAGAAGAGATCGGTGAATAGCCCTATCGCATAATGACGTAACAGCATGATTACAGTGGGTAATTCTCTGAAAACACTGATAATTTGAACCAAGTATTCTTTTTCTTCGAAAACGTTGAACTTCAACTCATCTATTTTTCACATTTTAAGTGTTTTTCTTTGTCTTTCCGTTATTTTGTCTCGACGTGACGACCATTTTAAGGCAAGAGAGTGCTTTGATGTGACGTCAATCATGCTATATTACGTCACCTCACGTCCTCATGATATATCTCCATCACCTTACCTTATTTCTCGTCCATTTCTAAATTTAAACCCAGTCCCATCTTCGTCTCCCTCGTCAAAAAGGTTCGAGTAAAGTTCGTTGTTTTTGTTATCCAACATGAATAGTGAACAGCGGTCTGCGTTGACAAGCTTCTTAGCGAATGCCTATGACAATATATGTAATAAATTGAGTCATATGACTGATCGAGCTCTATTAGTCTTAATACCCGTTTACACTCGCGATTTTTGCAGTGCCATTGTCGCGGGACAATCGCAACTTTGTTCTCGCGCACCTCAAATCGTAAGTGTAAACAGCACTGCGATTGTCGCGGCTATCGAAAATCGCCGCGAGTTGCAGTTAAATTTCAAGCAAGTTCGAAACTGTAATATTGCTAAATATTACATTTAAAATTATCGTATTTGGTATCGACTAGCTATCGAGCTAGTACGATAATAACTATATGAATTTGGAAATACATTTTGTTTATCTCGGATACGCTTGTTTGGCACACCTCCTACGCTTGGCTTTCCCTTGCCATTTCCTGGCACGAACGATATAGATCTGGACAAATATCGTAAATTATTGATCAAGCATCATGTTTGCAGTATTAATGAAGTAAAAGTTTTATCAAGGAAAATAGGTTTAAATAACATAAAGACTTCTCATCAGTATCAGTAAAATAACACAATAATAGGACTAGTTCTTAAGTATCGATCTATGTACGATAACAAATGTTAGTCTTTCATTCAAGAACATATTTCTTAGGATTTTGACTTATGGCCAAACGCCTTGTTATGTAAATGTAATCTTAACATATCCAGATACATGGAACAGTATAAATAGGATCAGTTATCCTAGTTCAG